ACAGACCAGAAAATCAACTGGCAAGTTCGAGACGGTGAAAAACGAGTAGGATTAAGGTAACTGACGCCTGCCAGTCGTTAATAGGTACTTTTTCTACGCTCCGTCGCTGTGTAGTATTTGGGCGAATGTTACAGTCAGAAACGGCCATTTTGGCGGAAGAGCTAAAAAGAAACAACAACATTAGTTGCGATTGCGAGAACAACAGAAATTGTGATTAAGAAACGACGACGAATCGCGGAGTTAACAGAGAACGTTCCGAGTTGCAACTATTGTGTCGCTACAATAGTTGCAAGGCCGTTGCGAACAACGGTGAAGGGTGGAAGACGGCCTTCCGGGTTACGGAGAAATCAAGTTTAACGTGCCCGTGCTTGATTCAGTGGATTCAAGAATCCGGAAGGGTTTCGGGACTGAAACTTTTATCATTTTATATAAACTTTTAGCTTCCTGTCATGTCCTGAATTGAATTTAATTAACATCCGAATTCATTCTACTAAGATGAGAAGCTAGGAGTTGGGGGAAAGGGTTGATCCATCTTCGATGGAGATGATGATTTTTATCTATTGAACAAAAACAATAATAATTCAATAAGTAGTAGTAGCCTTGTTTTTAGGAGTGACCTCGTGGTCTGGGGATACTGAGACCCAGCCATGAGCTCACTAGTTCTGCATGTAATTAAGTTAATTTGAGTGTTTTGACCGAAGCCGAAAGCAGTAACGTTTTTTGTCGACCCGATGTTAGAAAAGACCACCGAAAGTACTGGCTTGGTAGAGACGGTGAAAAGCATATAAAGCTCTGTTTAGACGTTAGCCAGTCGTCTTAGGACTTAGTTTTATTTTCCGTCGATATGTATCTTCCGGGCGAATGTTACACGTATAACTGTTTTTGCACCTAAATAAAATCTTATCGCCCTATTTTGAGCCTGCTCACTTGATTCGCTCGAATGTAGACAAAATCAAATCTGTTTTTCTCGACAGAATTTTTTTGAAAATTTTACAATGTGGCTCGAATTCCGACTAAAAGAATATACGACATCACTCTACCCCCATTTTGATGATTATATCTGGAGTACCTGATATTGCGTTCAAAAAGGGAAAAAGCGATAGTAAAATTTTCTGAACAAATAAAGACATTCTGCAATGGCATAGGGTTTGGATGATGTTAAACGCTCTTTGTGAAAATCTGTTTAAAAAAATGGAAATTTTTCGGAAACTGAGACTTCGACTATTAATTTTCCCTGAGCCAGATATATTTTTGAAAGTTCCTCAAAATCTGATTTACGGTTCTCTACTACGGTTGTATGAGGTACGATTGACACTCGATTCCTTACTCGAATTCTTTGAAGTAGATGATTGTTCGTGAATCGCACTTTGTGACGTGGTCGGAACAATGATTTTTTTTGTAAACAACGAAGATTTAATTAAAATATGATATGCCATTTTATTAGTCACTTTTAATCAATGTATATCAAATGAATATTTTCTATTCAGTATCTAATTGGTACATGTGCCATCTATGGTAATACATCACGGGTTTTTAACCTTCTCTTTCCTTGTATGTTCAAATTCAGGCCAAAATGAATTTGACATACCGAAGCATCATATTTTTTCTCATGCGAGAAAAGAGTTCTCTGAAAATAATCAATCACCGTCTGTCTGGATAATGCGATTTCTGTTTACCTGATTTTTCATTCCGGTTGTGCAGAATGAACTTATTGATTATGATGATGTTATTTATAATGAGATGTTATTTTTTCATAATACTTTTATCCAGGCAGAATGTATATTATTTGCGTTGTAAGTGAAGACTATTGATTTGTTTTGAAATTCCGTTGATTATTTTTGCGCCTGGATTTTTAATGCGTCGTGCTGGACATAGAGAAGCCCTCCCTAATTTGAAAGATTCAATTTTTTTTTGCTCCCAATCGTTCCTTACCAAGCAGTTGTTCCTATCCTATGCTGCTGTACCTTGTTTTGTTTGCCCTGAACAGACTGCATCTACTTTTGATGCAAACGCTCACATGTATTAACAAATGTTTGCTGATGAACTGAAATTTTCTTCTACTCATTTGAAGGTTTCTGTCTTATTTGTTGTTCAGATTAGTGTTGACTTTTACGCTTTTATCAATTCCACTGTGCCATGTATCTTATATATTATGTTTCTGTAATATTTTTCTTTGATTGCAGTTTTGTCTTGTTTGCCGGCCCTTAGGCTTAGCCAATATAGTTTGGCATGATTGCAAGCCACAAGCGAAATCAAATGAACATAGATAGCTAGCATTTTGGCAGAAAAAAGACGCATTTACTCAATAGCGGGGTCGCGTCTGAGAGTAAATTTGGCAATGTTTTTGAACTGACAAAATCGAGCTGCAAAAATGCCGCTCAATGCTTCTTTGAACATTCCTTATATCAACATCAGTGAAGTCTGGGCTAATTTGGTTCGATTTTTAATCTCGTTTTGTTTTTCAAAAATATTTCCGATTGCAAAAAATATCATCTAATCAAACTAAGGAAGGCGTGTAGGCTCTGAGTTTTTGAGATATCCCTTTGGTTGAAAGTAGTGCTTTAGTTGTTGATACTATTTTGATTGAAAAATTCAGCGAAAGATTAAACGTTTGTTGATGAGCTTTTATGGGAGGCACTAAAGTGGCGCTTCTTTATTTGAAGTTGTAGCTGGTAATTGATTCCATAAAATAGGACTTTCCCTTTCCGACCCAAAAAATCTACCTGCGTGACTTCATAAACAATTTTAACCCAATGATGCGATTGGCCGATTCGATGTTTAGCCAAAGTTTATTTTTCGTGAATTTTAAATTAAGAAAAACAAAAAAGAGAAGTTTTCGTTTTTTTTTTTCATTATTTATTCATGATTGTCATTAAAAACTACTTTTTAATAGAACATCAAGCCTTTTATTTTCTGCACCTCAACTGTCATCAGGTTGTATTGTCAGTTTCAATTCGGAATAGAAAAAGACCTCAGTGGTTCGGGTAATCCTCGCCGTTAGGCAAAAGCAACACAATGACCGTTTCAAACATTCTTCTGATGGGAGTTTTAAGTATAATGGAGGTGGGGCGTAGCATATGAGAGGCCGCTGCTGCACGATGGCCACGCGGCAAACAATGTATGATGGTGTATCAACAAGCCTAAGTATAAACCAGGTACCGTTTAAAACAGCCGAAAATACTGGTCAGTTCCGTAATGCTTTTCAATCTTCAATTCAAATTAATGAAAATTAGTTCGGCTGGTTTATCAAGTCTCACTTTCAGTTCATTTATACTTCGGAGTTGTTGCTTGCACAATGGGTCGGCACGCAAAATTGAAATGAATGAGTTTAGCGAGTGCCATCAGCAGCAGCATAGTAGCAATGGCAGTGAGTCTTTAATCTAGTTAATTGAGACTGCGCTATTTGTGTGACAGAAGGATGCCAAAACTTTAGCAGTGTCTCGCGGGACTTGTTGAGAAAGGCGCATTGTTCCACTTTATAGCATCTCAATTCTTTCTTAATTTCCTCTAATTCTGCGCCCTTTGTTTCCCAACATTCAAATTCACTGAAGACCCTCTCACCTCGCCCGCTCTCAACTGTTTGCTCACATTTTTCTCATTTTCTCCGCCGCCGCACCGCTTTCCCTCCTCTCCTTAATTTGCAAACCAGACTTAACAGAACCAGAGATCTTTCAGTTTCCGGCTAGTGGCATTAATTTTTTTTACTCTGGTGCTCATAACTTGAAGAGAAACCAATCAAGGTCTATATCGTACTTCCTGTTATACATTTTTTTCTGCATTATAAGCACAAAGTGTAAGAATTGAAGTTGCTTCGAGTTTTTTTAGACACTTATTGTCATGAGTTTCTCTCTCTTCGGTAAATTTTGAGAAATTTGGCCAGTAATTCAGTTTTTGACTCTGGGAATTATTTACGATTAAAAAACTTTCGACCCGCATTTTCTATCATTTTCAAGTTTCAAATTTCAGTGCTGAAATCTACGAAAAAAGTGTGTTGAGTGTTCGATTCTTTTTCTATCGATCTGGGGTAAAAAGACATGGCGTTCAATTACAGAATAACGATAAAATGTTATCAAAGAGGAACACCTTTAATACGGCGAAATAGTCAATTTATGTTCTCCTCCATCCCACCGTAACTCAGCCCCTCATTTAACAGTTTTTAAATCAGTTTTCTAGGAAGTTTTTCAAAATATGGCAAACAGTGAAACACGGGCATGTTGAATTCGGGCATGTTTTTCGTTCTATCAAAAGGACTCGAAAATTGATTTTCATCACAACAAAAAGGCAGAAGTTTGATGTTAGCCTTACGGATAGAATTAAGTCAGATCAGGTTTTCCATATCCATCCTTTTTCGTTTGAAAGCTGGTTAATATCCGGTCTTCATTTTTGAGAATGACAAAGTTTGATAGTTGCACTTAGCTAGATTTTTTTGTCGAAGTATTGATTCCGAGATTTTTTGGTAAAATAACAAGTGAATTATCACTTCTCGATTTGAGTTTAGATGTATCGAATTGTTTTCATTCTAATTTTCTATAATCCTTATTTCGAAATGAATTCGTTCTCTTAAAAGCAATTTAAGGTTTTTTTTTAATCATGGTTATATTGGAATGAGTATTGTTAGAAATAGTCAAATCACTGGTTTTGTGCGAAGCCTTAGGCTCCTTGAATTGGTTTCTCTTTAACTGCCCTATTCTTTCTCAAGTTAGCCCAGACTGCATTTAATCAAAAAGCGATACCCCTGATATTTATCAATTGTTAGCCCAATTATATTTTGGACCTCTCCATTTGACTTTTATTTAGTAGCTTCCTGACTTCGCACGTGATTTTAGGTCGGTTTTTTTCACCCGCAGATTGAGGCGCCCGGCCCCTTCCGTTAACAAACAATCGACAATAAACCCACCACCCGACTACTGACCACATATGATCTGACTGTTCAATTCTACCTTCTCTCGCCCTCTCGTTCGCCATTCTCTCTCTCTCTCTCTCTCTTTCTTACTGCTTCTTCATTCCATCAATCCGGGCTAATGGTCTCTCTTCCCCCAATTTCCACCATCCCTACTAGTGCCACTGTCACTGAAATGTCATCTTCAAGTGCTCCAGTTTAGCCCAGAATTGCACGTGTGGCCCATCTTACCTGCTGCTGTCAATCCTGATGTGCCCTCGCTTAATCAAATTCTTCCTTCCCTTTTCCAGCCGCCTTTCTTTGATTGAACATCGTATAATTTTATATTAATTTTTTTGATGCATTAATTATCAGATATTGGGTTTTTATATCTTCAACGGGCACGTTTTTTGTAATTACTTCTTGTTGTCCAATTTGAGATAAAAATTATGAATTAACTAATTTCCTCAAAAATTCCATTATTTGTTTACCCTTGACTTTAGATGGTATGATGATTTGTGAAAGGATGATTTTGTTAATGGTTTTATTTTGTTCGCTTTCGATCTCTTTTGGAGGTAAGCTGAGATGAAGTTTTTAAACAACGCAAATTGTTTTTAACCTTATTTAAATGACTGTATTCTAATTAAGTTAAATTTCGATGTCGTTTTTGGTGCTTTATTTGTTGCCTAAAAGTGATTTTATGTTTCTGTTTTCATGGTTTTATACGAAGGAAGGTTGGCCCCTTGAATTAAGATTTGTAAAAAAAGAAAAGAAGTCATTATTTATTTTCGAATCTCTTTAACTCTTCAACAATCTCCGAACACCCCCCCGTAAGGTACCTACTATGGAATAACTTCCCCTATAGAGAACTAATTCAATGGTGAGGCATATGCTCATTTGTACCTAGTAGCGAATTCTCCTTTCGCAATAGGGGGATGAATAGACTATAGTTAAATAGTTTCTGATTTCTGAAAGGCAAGAATTGGCATGTTTTTTTTTCGGTTTTGCTGAAATTTTAATTTGAGTTTAATACCGAAAGTTTTCGATTGAGTGAGACTAAACTAAAGTAGGTTTCAAAAAATTTTGTAATTTGACATGGACTATGTAATGGAGATGACGAAGAAAAAAGAAGACCCGTACCCGCTCAGAATAGGAAGAATGAGCAGACTGCTCAAAGGCGGCCTTAAGTTTTTTGTTCGATTTTTAAGTTATCAAAACTGGAGCTTCTGATTCTTAAATTTAAGATTAAATGTCGAAGTTAGAATTTGGTCTGGTCAAATTTAAAGTCAATTGCGGGTCTGGTCATTGGAAATTTTTGTCTGGCCACTGAAAGTTTTTGCGATTCTGTTAATAACAGACATATTGCGAGAACAATTGTCTTGCAATAGTGAAAAAGACTCTTTTCCCCGTAAACAACTTTTTCTATATTTTTTTCTGATTTAAACAATTTTGTCTTTCAATGACAGTCGCTCTGTTACTCGTACGGAAACTTACTAGCTCGGATTTTAATTTTTATTATCATTAAAAGTAATTCAAGTGGGGTGTGGTGTAAAAGTTTCAAGCGTTAAAACTTAATCGTTCAAATATTTTTGTTACAACAATTTATTATGGCAATATTTTGTTTTCGGATCAGTGGGCGTCTGCTCAGATATTTTTGGCGTAGTGAATGCTCGATTAATGATTCCAGAAGCTAAAAAAACTCAGGTAGTTCTGTTTCTCAAATTTTTTCTGAAATTGAATTTCTTTTCAGAAATTTAAGAAATGTTTTTTTTTTTCGACAGTAATGTTTTTTCAACAACTGGATAGCTGAAGTTTTTAATGAAATATTTTTTTGCTCACGTGTTTTCATCTCAGTTTTGCCGGCTTACTTACCGCTTCGCTGTTTTTTTTTCGCTGCTTTTTTACCCCTGGCAATTGCTTATTTAGGTATTTTTCTCAAATGGGTTCATTTAGGGCAAATTTAGGTATATAAATGAAATTTTTGATACATCTTTTCATTTTGAAAGTGCTATTTTGGTGAGGCTTTTGAATCAGGAAGCTGCATTGGAACCAGATTATGATTTGATCTGCAATTAGGTAACAAAGTTGATGATTTGTAATTCATCAATTGAAGTTAAAAAGTATTTGTTTCTTTTTTAGAAATTTTGCTACTTAGTTTGCTTAGCGAATTTTTGGCGAAATGCAATTAGCGAATTTTTGGCGAATTAGTTTGTTCAGCGAAATGCATAATCTCTACAAAGTTTGGTTTTACCCTTTCCAATTTATTGCATGAAAAACTAGTCTAGTTGCTTTTGTTTAATTACATTCCTAATTATTACAAGCAAAATTTGCTTTTTTTGCAAGTTGAAGCTCACGAATAATTTGCGGTTTTTTTGTTTGCGAAGCTGCATCTTCGCCTGTGCTCAAAATCTTTTGTTTTAGCGGCTTCTGAGTTTTTGTTGGCTAGCTTGCCATGCTATGTTAACGTTGTATCGCAAGTGGCGCAAAGCTATACTTCGCCTGTGTTTTAATTTCAGTTGTAACCCGATCAACAGCCTTTTTTTAGTTAATCGTTGCTGAAACTTTGTCGATTTTTCATGGAAATTGCTGTTACTGAAATTAAACGTTATTGACAGAAATCAATCTTTTTAAATATTTCCCCTATTTTGAGTTACTGAAGTTCATTTTTTGTTGCTTTTTTTAAAATTGTTTTAATCAAATCAGAAAAAAATCAATATTTTTTAAATTTTTGGCTAACTGAATTGGTAACGAGCAAAATGCGAATCGAAAAAATGCAAAAAGAAAACATTTGTGAAAATTTGGAAAAGCACAAGTAATATGGAATTGCGTGTCACAACTATTACATACATAAGAGAAAAGTGTTAACAACGTCCGATGATACAGGGAAAACTGCAAAAAAGCCCAAAATTTTTGATTTGTTTCGACAACTGATTGGGGAGAAATTTTAGGCTTAGGTGTATTTTCTGTTCAAAATCAGTTTAAGCTTCTTAAAAGTAAACGAAATTCAGTGTGGTATTATAATAAAGCACACTTAGTCGAAATTTGAGCAGGAAATAAAAACTTAAATGGAAGTTTGCAAAAGCTGAATTGAAAATCTTTTTCGCGGAGTCTTCAGGTGCAACAAAATCAGGTGCAACAGAAGCTTCAAATGGGGTCGAGTAAACGGTTTTTTTTATATTTCTTGTAATTGCGGTTTTATGTGATAATCTGTGGTTGCAAACTCCTGCACAGTAGCTGTATATTGATGTCAACATATTTTTTCTGAGATATTCTGCTATTTTTCATTATAATCAAAGTTTTTTGGATGTAAATGTCGCCGGAACATTTTCCGCTTCGTACCCTTCTCAGCTTCGTGTATTTTGCTCCTGCTAATCTTGTTGTAAACAAGTGTTTTTTTTTCAAATCTTCTGGGTTTTTGCATGAGTTTCAATGTGTTGAAAATAGCTCATAAATTCACCACTCGGTTTTGTTTTTCATTGAGTTTGCTGATTTTGAAATCAAGGGTGCGTTCTTTTCCTTTTCCCCTCTGTTTCACTCTGTGGTTGAATATGATTGTATCATAATTCATAGATATCCGTTTTCTGCAAGATTGCAGGTCATTGGTGTGCTTGCTTGCACTTGAGACATTAATTTACGCGTTCATTTTTCACCAGCCTAAGTCGCTTATTTTTTTTTTGAAATTATGTCCACATCATCCGGCTCTAAATTACAATCGAATCGATGCTGATGGTTTTAATACAGATTGTTTATTTTTTTGTCATCGGAAAAATAAATATGTATTGGGCTCAAAGTTTAAAAACTGCTTCGTCTTTGATAATTTTTCACGCAATTATTGGGGTTTGAAATGTTCCAATTTTACGATGCATGAATATACGATACGTTCCATGCATGAATGTCGAATGAATGTTAACGAAACGAGTGGACGGTTGCTGTGCAAGTAGCGCAGAAAGTCCTCAGCACAACGTTTTTTATGCATAGTATGACAAGAAGATAGAGAAAAGCTTAGAATTTTAGTAATTCAATTGCTATCGTCTACAGTTTTTTTCAATATTCAATATACAAAACCAAAAAATTCAAAAATTTGGAAGCGCTAAAAGAAGTTTCGAAAACTTGTTTTTCCGGATCAAAAGTTTTATTCACAGCTTTAATGAACACTTCTCATCTTCTTGTGCTCGTTTAAATTGTTCAAAATTAGACTAAAAAGCGTTAATTTATCTCAACTCCGAGTAAACTTTTTCTCAATTCAGAGTAAGCTAAATCGTTTTGATATTGTTCGAATCTCGAATTAAATGTATTTATAGTTACATACAGTCACGGGACATAGAAGTTGCAACTTTTTGGTTTCAACGAGCACATGAACGAACAATTTTTTAGTTTTTTTTCGTTTTCTCTGCAACTGTTTAATATATAAGATTGAAATTTTAATTAATGCTAGATAAAACTATTCGGAAGGGCTTAGCTGGACCGAATATGAGAAGTCTTCTTTGAAGGCGTAAATAAGCCAGTATATCAAAACTAGTTTTCGAGGTGTTCTTGCTCTGGAAACATCCTCGCAAACAGTATTAAGAATTTCAACTATTAGTGGGCTCAAATTAGTTCTCGGGAAAGCTGTTGAGCTTGACTTAAGTTGTATACTGCTGAAAATTGATCATTGAGAGAAATGAAAGAGCTATTTGGTCGGCGTCAAAAATGCCATAACTGTTTTGACGACACTTTCATTAAAAGTTGGGAGCTTAAGTCCTCAAAATAGGACAAAATCTACACGCAACAAAACTGCTAATGACAGTCCTGTGCATGAGCTGGAGCAGTATTTTTTTTCGAAATGTTTGCTGGAAGCATCTCGATCAGAAGCGCAAAATTTTTCATAAAAATTCGGACGTTTTGTTACGCCGGGCCCAATAGCTCTTCTTAACTTTCCTAACTATCAATTTTTGGCGGCAAAAAGTAAGTCAAGCTCAAGAGCTTCTTAAAGAAGTATTTTGAACCCAATAATTCAAACTCTTTATATTGTTTGCGAGGATGTTTTCTCAGCAAGAACAACTCTAAAGCTAGTTTTGGTATGCTGACTAATTTGCGCCTCCAAAACAAAATGTCTCATTTTTGGCCCGGCTAAGCTCTTCGAAATAGTTTTATCTGGCATATGTCAAAATATCAATCTTATATTTCAAGTAGTCGCAAAGAAAACATCAAAAACGTGAAGAAAAGTTTCGTTCATTTGCTTGTTGAAATAAAAAAAATTGCAACTTCTATGTCCCGTGACAGTATCACGCAACCTATTCTGATGATTATTTGTAGTACATGATTTTGGGTGCAAAATGACTTAGTTTTTCCTCACTCTCAGTGGTCGAAACAATCAGTTAATCCAACGCCAAGGATAGTCTCTAGGGATGGTCTACAAAATGCAGACGAACGCGAAAAGAACATGCTATTCAAATGCAATGTGAAAGCCTTTACCTTGGCGATAAAAGATCAAAAAATAAGAAACAGTAACAATTAGTATTTTGAACCCAATAATTCAAACTCTTTATATTGTTTGCGAGGATGTTTTCTCAGCAAGAACAACTCTAAAGCTAGTTTTGGTATGCTGACTAATTTGCGCCTCCAAAACAAAATGTCTCATTTTTGGCCCGGCTAAGCTCTTCGAAATAGTTTTATCTGGCATATGTCAAAATATCAATCTTATATTTCAAGTAGTCGCAAAGAAAACATCAAAAACGTGAAGAAAAGTTTCGTTCATTTGCTTGTTGAAATAAAAAAAAATGCAACTTCTATGTCCCGTGACAGTATCACGCAACCTATTCTGATGATTATTTGTAGTACATGATTTTGGATGCAAAATGACTTAGTTTTTCCTCACTTTCAGTGGTCGAAACAATCAGTTAATCCAACGCCAAGGATAGTCTCTAGGGATGGTCTACAAAATGCAGACGAACGCGAAAAGAACATGCTATTCAAATGCAATGTGAAAGCCTTTACCTTGGCGATAAAAGATCAAAAAATAAGAAACAGTAACAATTAACACTTCAGAGCAAGTGGATTTTATTTCAATCTGTACTATATTTTTGTTGTTTTAAAACATTGATAACAGATTTCGCACTAGGAAATTTTCTTACTTTATGGATGAATAGAATTTTTTTGTAATGAAACATAGTTGGGATAGAGGTAAAATCTTAGATTTGTCCCTTGCAGATAGTTTGAAGCCCGATCAGATCATATAGCAACTTTCAGTTATCTTTTGCTTTTTCGCTCAGAAGGTTCATTCGACTAAAACCTGTTTCAGCTTATGTCATAGAGGCGTAGTTTTGGTGGCGACTGTGTGTGCTCAGAAGGTTCATTCAACTCAAACTGTTTAAGCTAATGTTTATTGTATATTGGTGTGATCTTATGTAGGCGTAATTAACTTTGGGTTTCATATTCCTTGAAAGTTGAATTTCTATGACAACATTTTCCAGCGCAATGATTGTAAACAAAAGGGATGTCAGATAATTTGCTGCTTTTGATGTAACGCATGTATTGCGAAGATTAGCTTGTCAACTGTGCAAAAATTGGGACATAAGTTTCAATGTTTTTACTTTAAGGGTTCGTTTAGAAAGTTTTTTTTTGCAGTCTTGATACAGTTCGGACGGTATGTTAGTATTCATTAACAGATGCCGTGTTATCATATTAACTTTGAGCTGGAAACTATTCGGGTGTGAAGGAGAGTTTGAGACAATTAGGAAGTCGAGGTTAATTTTTGCTAAATTAACTTACGGGAAGAAACGCTTTCCGATTTAGTTTTGAATTTGACTTTTTTTTTTACAGATTAACAACTTGACTATCAAAAGCACTGAAATATTTGATAGCTTAATTTGTGGTCAATTCAAATTTAGCTTCTTATTCTGAATTTTTGGCGCGAAATGTACGTCAACACCTCGGACGACAAGGGTGAATGTTTCGAATTCAGCCAGCACCATTTGTCTTAGTAAAATGATTTGTTTCAAGATTTTTAAAGCCGTTCTTTCGTTTGTCTGTTGGCGTTTTTTTTCGGCTTGGTTGCCGCATTACGGATTGTTTTCTTGAGGCAATGCTAACAGTAATTGAAAAACTATTGACGTATTATTGTTATGGTGCTTTTATGTGTTTTGCTCTATGATTTTCTGATGCTAACTCTCGAAAAAATATTGAACGTTTTTCGATATGCCATATTAGACGATTATTTTGATTTTTTTATTTGTTCATTCTCCTCTCAATCACAAATTCAATCCATGGAGCTTTGTCTTAATTTTTTTCAAATTACGTTTCAATTTCATTCGTAAAGCAGGTTTTTTCTTTTCCATCTGTTTTTGAATTTAGTAAACTTTCAGGGCGTTTGTTGGGCCTGTTTACATAAGAAATATTTGTAATATAATACGTTCATTTTTTGAGTCGCTTAGCAGCTTGAGTCGCTTATTTTTGTTCAATTATCTGACATGTGCATAGCATCAAGCGTTAAATGACCATCGATGCTAATCGTACAAGCTTGTGTAGCCATCTGAAAAAATTTTGTGTCCTGGGCTGTTTTTTAAAAATGTTTCGCCTATGATCATTTTTCGAAGTCGTGGTGGTTCGAAAATTGCCAATTTCACGACTTGGAGTTGAATGACCTCTTCAAGTTCCAGTGGTTTTTTTAGTGTAAGGTTTTTTCTGAAAATTATCATATGTATACATACATAAATATATTTTTGATATCCGCTGAAGGTTTGAATGTGATTTTCAGTTATCTCAATATGCATTAAATTAGAGTATCGATAAGAGAAGCTTTTGGATAGTATGAAGTATCCCTCGCACACTTTGATTCCAAAACAGCCTGCAAAAACCGTAGAAATAATTAAGAGTAATGAACGTAGCGAGGACTCTTATATATGTCTTACTGATTTTTCTGTTGGTTCTTTTTTTCAGGAAAAAGTCTTAAAATTTGTTCACGCTCAATTTTGATTTTTCGCGGTTTGACTTGTGATTTCTTTTCAAGTTCAGTGCATTTTCATTTTTAAAAGGAAGGCAAACTCCACTATCGTGATCGACTTCAAAACGTGATCGACTTCTAATTTCGAAAATGGAAATTTGTTATCAGATATCCCAGTGAAATAAAAGTTTTGCCTACTGATCCAGTTTTATCAAATTGGGTTAATTTTAACAAAAAAGTGTCCATTCTAAATTGTTCTACAAATTCAAAGAGCTTTAAGGCCATTCATTTTTTTCTTCGAAATTTAAAAGTGGAAGGTTTTTGAAAAAGAAAACAAGTCAGTTTTTGTTTCTGTTTCATTGCGTTCATTACTATTTTCCAATTGTCAGTTGGCTATGTTATTAACTTAGCTAAAAAACAATGAAATCTTTAAGAAGATCAATTAAACAGTCTAAAAACATGAGAAACAAAATAGAAGGCAGTTGTTCTGTCAAGTAGCGCAGAAAATTAAATCCACATTCTTGAAAAAAAAAAGGCTCAAAAAGTATAAACATTTTTTCCAATTTGTGCCGTTTTTTGTGCGTATTTTGTGAAGGAAGACAAAAGCTTATAAGAATAATTTTAAAGTAGAAAAAATCAAATCATGAGTTAAATGGTTTTTAATTAGACTATTGCACAACGTTTTCTGATGATTTTTGGAAACTTATTTTGCGTGTAAAAAGTAAGGTTTTGCGAAGACTCTCCTCACTTGCAGTGGTCGGAACACTAAGGTGATGCAACGCAATGATTAAGGGGATACTCTACAAAATGCAGACGAACATAAAGAAAAAAGACTATTCAATTGCAATTTGAAAAAAGAGAAACAGTAAATTTTAAATTTCGAGAGCAAGTGTATTGCAATTGTTACTCTTTTTTGTTCGCTTTTAACATTGTTCACAGAATGTGCTCAGCAATCCGCAGTCCTTGTTATCTATGCGCAGTGAATTGGCGCTTCACTTTACACCTCAGAATTATATCAAAGTTTTCAATCAACTGTGTTTATTTGAAAATTTATTACGTTAAAATGTCCTTTTGATGTCTGCATCTTTGAAGCATTTCAACTGATTTTTGAACCCGGACCAAGTAACTCTTTTTCTTATTTTGTCTGTATTTTTTTCGGCTGCATAAATAGTAAGTCAAGCTCATGAGCTTCCCAATGAACCAACTTGAGTCCATAAACTCAAATTTATTGTGTTGTTTTCAAAGATGTTTCCGCAGCAAGAACTCCTGAAACGAGTAATGAAATACCCAATTTTTAAACGCCTTCGAAGAAAGATTTCTCATGTTTTAATCCGGCTAGCCCCTCCAAATGGTTTCATCTAGCAGTATCATTAAATTTCAACCCTATATCTTAAATTGTTGCAGAGGAAATGACAGAAAAGTAAAGAAAAAAGTTGTTCATACGCTCGTTGAAATCAAAAAGTTGCATTTTCGGTGACTGTAGCTTGTTTTATAAAATTCCAACTTTGGCTCTTATCCGGCACATTTCGCTTAGAAGTAATGTACATGCCTGGGTCGCCAAAGACCAAGAGATCAAATCCGCCAGAACCTGTTCTTAATGTAAATTTAAAAGTGCACCCTTAAAAGAAAATATTGTAAAGTTTCTGAAGTGAAGTGTACTAAAGCTAATACAAGAACTTTTTACTCTCATTATTGTTTGCTTTTATTCTGCTTTTTGCAATTTATTAATTGTTAATTCTGTATAAAAACAGCTTATAATAGAGTACATCCTCTGATCCTCCTCTGATTTCGATGTGACAAAGGTCGCCTTTTGATGTTTTCTGTTCGCTTGCAGGCCATGCTGGTTAAAAGTAGACCAGTGAGTTGTTGACTACTGATTTCCGCTTTTGGGCTCGTCTGGGATTTGGATCTATCAAATTTTGGGTCTGGCAATTAAGAACTATTAAATGACACATTGTTTGTGACCAAATCAAAAGCCATTCATCCCCTGCTCTGTCAAACCACAGAGGATTTAAAACTCTTCTTCTTTCTTTTTTTTGGTTCTATCCTAACCGAACTTGCTTTGAAAGGTGCTTAACTCTCCTTTTGTTGGTAAATTAACAGCGCGCATGTGTTCCATAGGAGTGGAGTGAACTTTGTTCCCTTTCTCCAGTAAAGTGTTCAGATGTTTTATTCAAAATTGAAAGATTGAATATAATTTTTATTGGTCCTTTAAAATAGAACGGTCTTTTAATCAAATGTTGTAAATTGAAGTCATCCTGTGATTGTAAAAGTGCTATGTTTCATTTTGAAAGTTTTTTAAACGAAACTTAATGACAATCTGTTTTGGATCATCTAGTGAAAGTAATTGAGGGTAGCTTTTATTTTTTTTAGTTTATGTCAAACAAGAAGACAGTTGGATAGAATTTCAATTGAATCGGACAGAAACCAAGTATTTAGTCGACATTCAAATTCATATAATTGAACTACATTCTTCTGAATTCAATCTCGGAAACGCCGCGATTTTAACAGTTTTCAGTCATGAAAACAAAGAGAGCAATCTCGAATTGCTTCTCCAAAAAACAGGAGACGACGATCGAAATAGCCTGGATTATATTGTCAAATATGGAAAACAACAGATACCTATTGCAAAGTTTCGAACGGATATTTATCACGATTTTAAAACCACCGATATCAGAGTGGTACTCTCTAGATTCCACCTAACAGTTCAGTTTGCCGAATCTTCTTCGCGTGTGCAATTGGCAGAAGTAGTACCCTACTTTAATTTCTCGACGCTACAACTCGGTACGAAGGATTCGAAGTCGCTGATAGCTTGCTATGAGGAACTTAAGGTGAACGAAGCACTGCTAATCGAAGAAGAAGCTCTCAACTCAATAGAAAAAAAACATGTTGTTGGATACTCCAATGTCGTGTCGCGATGTCTTCCGTTGAACCCTTGCTTTGTGATAGAATGTCCTCAAGGTTCTACTTGCGTAGAAGCGGACCACTATGCCTTTTGTGTCGAAATTGGAGACTCGGAAACGGATAAAGGGCTTCAAGGGGATTCGGGCCTCGGTGGACCCCGTAAGCCGACGGCTACTCAAATTCTGAAATCGCTCAACGTCGATGAAGGCTGGAAAGTTGCTATTGATGTATCAGAAATAACTTTACCAGAAGAAGTATTGGCAAAAAACGTGTTCTTTAACGTGACTAGATCAGGTTTAACATCGCTGCAGCATGGAACAATTTTGAACAAAAATGAGAAGACTTTAACCATTTTTAACTTCGAACCTGCGCGAGCGGGAAATATATTTTACCAGCACAATGGTGGCGAAAACTCGAATGATAAAATAGTGATGCAAATCTTGACTAGAACTCAATTTAATACTTTCAAACCGGAAAGTTTTGTTTATATTCCGGTGTCAATTAACCCAATCAATGACCAGCCGACTCTTTACATAGACTGGAATCTGAAGTTCTTAGTGGAATCAGGGTCTATGAGGGAACTAACAGAAAAGGAATTGGACATCAAAGATTCAGATGACAGCGCAAAAGATTTAAAACTTTTTGTAATGTCTATAAGCCAAGAGTTTTCAGAAGTCTCTATTGTACGTAAAGTTCAGACATCTGGTAAAGATTTTAGAACTGAATCTGTTTCTTCATTCACGTACCAAAACATGCTTGACCGCGAAGTGTTTGTCAAACATGAAAGCAAAAATGCGGGAAATCAAGCGAAATCTGTGAGAATTGAGCTACAAGTTGCGGACTTGAAATCTTTCGGCAACAAGACTTTTCTGCACGTTGAAATCGTAGACGTGAGATTGCATGTAATAAATGAACGATTTCTGACGATCGTTGCGGACTCGCCTTTGCTTTTAACCGAAGAGGCTTTGAGCATAGCTGTGTACCCTGAAAGCGAATCTCTTTTTGTGAATGCGGATCAAGGTCGCCTGAAATATTTAGAAGATATGATAACTATCGCAGTTACAATTCCAGATCCTAGTCAAATTGATTCGCAAAAATTGGATCATCTGGATAATTGGCAATCTGCGTTCGAATTTTCTCAAGGTGAGCTAAGAGCTGGGAAAGTACGAGTTGTATCACGCATAAGTCCGGACGTGGGTTCAAACCAGAACGGTTTCCTCGACCTCAGAGCGAAGTATAAAAATCAGCTGAAGTTTTTCAGGATGAGCTATATGATAACATTACAATCTTTCGACGTGAACCTGAATAACTATTTTGTCTTCGGCTCGGATACATTTTCGCAGACAATCACGGGAACTGATTTGTCAGCAAAGTTGTTCCAGCCGCATCCGTCTCATACAGTGCCTGCCAATGATATCATTTACACAGTGACGAGGGTTCCGGAATATTCATACATCTATTTAAACCAATCAAATAACTCGATGTTTCAGACTCAAGAAACATCTGTACTTGGTGTGGGGTCAAAGTTCACGCAAAGTCAACTTAATTCTGAGAAAATGTTTTTGAGAAGAAAGTTACAGGCGCTGACGAGTGTAACGGATCAGTTTTTGTTCACTGTAGAAATAAACAGCTTAGTGTCAAACATTTTCTCTTTTTTGGTCCATGTTACGGCTATTCGGAACTCCAACTTTAGATTTCATCAGAACACTTTGAGTGTGGATGAAGGCGAACAGATAGTATTGACTTCTTCGGTATTATCAGTATCGTGCTCTTTTTCCGATAACTTCTTTTTCTACATTACCCAATACCCGACGCATGGACGACTTGAAGTTGTAGGAACCAGAATGAGAAAACTAGTAGCGTTCACCTACTCGGAATTAAAGCGAGGAGTTGTGTCGTATATACAAGACGGATCCGAAAGCCGAACAGACGAAGTGAAACTTCTATTGTCCCCCATTACGATTCCAACATTTACTTCCAAAACTGGTAAGGACTACAAGTTACCGATAAATAATATCAGCATAATTTTAAACATCTCAATAAACCTAATACCTGACAATCGGCCAGTTGTCGTGAACAACAAGGTGATTAATATAACCTACTCGGATATGATTTTAATAACTTCGGATATTCTGAAATGTCATGATCCAGATATTGACCAAACAGATGCGAATATTTCGTACACCATTAAACCTTCGGATCCGAGTTTGAAGTTCCTAAACTGTAAAAGTATTGAACAAGTTCTGAATATTTTCACTCAGCAAGACATCCAAGATTTGAAGATCTGCTTCCGCCAGCAAGCTGACACACCAAGATCTGAATCCATTATAAGAGCAACAAGCTCAGACCCTAGTGTGAAAAATTTAGCGGATGAGATTTTGATTACAATACATATCAAAATTGTAGATCCGTTTCTCGTAGCCAAGACTTCCCAAGAGATATTTCAAATTCAAAGGGCGCAGAAACTGAAGCTAGACGCGAGCATAATACAGATAAATTCTAGTATTTATCTTGACCCTTTTCGGACCATGATTGCTTTTCAAAAAACCATTTACGGAAAAATCATGAGCAATAAAACCGTGGTGATTCAGGAGTTTTCATATTGGGACTTTTTGAAACAACTTATTTCGTATGAGCATACATCAAACATCGGAGATGTGTTTGAAACAATAGCGTTAACCGTTTATGCCCAGAACTTCCAGAGTACCGTCTCATTTCGAATAAGAATAGTCGAAGATATGAAGGCGCCGAGTATTGCAAGTCTTCAGACATTTTACGTCATTAAAGGAAAAGAAACAGTTTTAAGTAGAAACAACTTGAAAGCTGTGAAGCCGTATGAAAATAGCACCCTTGAGTTTTTATTAGTTGAGCTGCCTCGAAATGGAGTCTTTTTCTTCAAAAACAATTTCGGCCCAAACTCTATATTTCGATTTTCGCAAAGCGACATCGATCGTGGCTTAGTCGTCTACAAAGCTCTCAAGAATTCGATGAACGATCGAGTTCGGTTAAATGTTTCAAATTTCGACCGGGTTGTTGGACCTTTCGATCTTGAAATTGTGATTTTGCCTGAAGAGATGAATATAGAAACGATAGATGTGCAGATTGGACAGGGAAAAGTGTTCCGAGTTCGTGACTTCGTGTCAGTAAAAAAGCGAGACTATGATATAATAGAAATGAGTGTGGAGATGATGCAGTATCCTTTCCATGGACAATTGAGACTACAGCAGAATGCCAGTAAGTCTTGATTAATGTTTACCTTCGTTTTTTGCGTATTTTTTTTTCTCGCCCAATTTCGCATCCATGGTTATCTGGCAATTAACATTTTGAGTGTTAATAAACATTTAATGAAGTTATGAACCTTTCGCTTATTATTTCGACTCAGTAGTGCGAAGAAACTTTGGGTTCTGTTTTTTTTCAATTCTAAATCAAGTGTCACAAAGTTTTCTGCAGGGTCGATTTGTATTCCTCATTGAAGACCGTTTTAATGCTGGCGATCAGCAAGATTTATCAAATCAAAACATAAGCCTTTTTCAGGTTCACAACTTGTTGATCGAAATCACTAAAATTTTTTGTGAACAGGCATATTTGGTAAACAGATATGTTTTAGCTTGTCTCTTTTGTAAATTCCTGTTCAATTGGAATTTTTATAATTATTTTGGCTGTAAACCAACTTGGAATTTTTCTTTTCTCTTTTCTTTTTATTCGTCGATCATCGTCTAATCGTGTTTTATTCGTCGATCATCGTCTAATCGTGTAAAGGCTTATTTGCATCATATTGCTTCGTTTGTAGACGTTTCGTGGGTTCTTGGCAGCATGTGCAACTACACTATTTTAAGTTGAAATCTTGCGTAGCTGAAAATCTGTTGACTGAGGTTTTTGTACTCCTGGGATTTTTACCTAGGTTTTGACAGCTTAGCTGCCTGCCTATTCATAAATTTGCTTCAATGCAAATTTACTGCTGATTGTTGTCTTCTTCAACATGAATGTTCTCGAAATTGAAAACAGAGCCAACTATGAAAATTAGGTAGATAGTAACGTTGGCATTATCAAATCGGAGGTTTGACTTTTTTAAAGCTTTTTAATTAGTTTAACACTTGAAACATTTACCACCTTGGTTTTTGTTCAGTCAAAGTTAGTGCCTAAATCCGCAAAAATGGTGTAAAGGTAAGGCGCATGCTTGCGATGGTAAAATTCTGTGGTTCAAATGATGTTTTTGAAACTTTTTAATGTTCTTTCTTCAGCTTTTTTGAAATATAGTTTCTTTTCACTCTTCTTTGATTCAGAAAAAGCAAAATGGCGGTTTCTCCTAAAGTTTGATTTTTTATGATTGCAATAACCTGAAAAAAATCATATTTTTGCTGTACAACAGAGTGAAAATATGTTCCCATTTCCCCCCTCTTCACATCAGTTTCATTCGCCTCGTTTGAGCTTGTCAAGAGAGTTTTTACGAATCATAACTGTTAAAGAATGGCTAGATCGGGGCCTACTTTTGTAAGATTTGATTTTTTTTGAAAACTTTGAAATGTTAATTGCTTTCTGTTTTTTTTTTACAGTTATCGCTTTCTTGTTTTTTACAGTAGTTTTTTGTACGATGTAAATTTGTGATTAATTTTATGGAAAGGGATATGAAGCTCTTCTTTGCCTCTGTGTTTTCAATATTGTTTTCGAATAACTTTTTGACTTAAAGGCTTTTGTCTAGATGTTCTGTCGGGTAGCTTGCCATGTTATGTTCGTAATGTAGCGCAAATGATGCTAAGATCCGCTTCGCCTTTGTGTAAAACTTGTTTTAAGGTCAACGCTTGTATTATAAGATCGGTCAATTTTTTTCCAAAAAAGCTCTCAAGCGTCTTTGTTCAACTTTAATACCTGGATACGGCTCAATGTCTAGTAGTAGGCGATTTTTGGTTGTTTTATCGGCTTAAAGAAATGACATTTCATTGCTGTCCGCTAAGTATGCAAGTTTTATGTATGCATCAAGGTCTATTATTCAAAATCTTCGTGGTCTAATGGACTGTCTAAGTGTTGCCTATGACGCAGCAGGCAACACACTGCCCTTGGCAACAGACTATGAGCAGGCTGTGTTTTCAATCCCCTGCTGTCCCAAGATCTTTTACATGCTTTTTACCTTTCTGGCTTATTTTCGTGTTTAGTGGAATCTTCATAAACATTTTTTGCTTGTGTCTGCGAAGTGCAGCTGGGCCTCTAACTTACGATTTCCTCACCCATCAAACAAGTTTTTAGTAAAAGAATCAATATTGGTTTGCAGCGAAAAAGATACCTGTGGTTGAGAGTTTATATACAATGGTCATGCAAGCGGGCTGTTCTTGTTGATATATTTCATGGCGTTTTGTGAATTCTAATTGTTCTTGTTTTTAAGAGTAATGAACCTAGTGAGTACTCTTATATAGGTCTTGGTGATTTTTTTTTCATGAAAAAGTGTTTAGTTTTGTTCACTCTCAAGTTCACTTCATTTCTTTCGTTAAAGGAAGGCAACCTCCACTATCAAACAGCAAACATGTAAAGGTCGTGAAAAACGAGATCGACTTCTAATTCCGAAAATGGAACTTAATTATTAGATTTCCCAGCGAAATAAAATTTTTACCTTTTGATCCAGTTTTCTCAAATTGGGTTATTTTTGTCTGTTTACCAATCATTAATTGTTCGGAAAATTCTAAAAGGTTTCAGGGCCTATGTTTTACTCTGAAATTCGAAAGTTGACGTTTTGAAAAAAATCAGTTTTTTTTCTGTTTCCTTGCGTTTGTTACTTTTTTTCCAGCTGTCAGTTGGCTATGATTATGATTTACCGGTTTGAAAAAATCAGCGCGAGTTTCCCATTCCGCGATTTTACGTGCGAGAGCAAGTGTCTGTTAATTGGGAACCCGAATTTTCCCCCGGAAACAGTTTCCTTAATAATCTTCAACTTGCTCTTTTATTGAACCCCAAGAACTTCCAGGTTCCTTCCCTTCTGACCTAGAGGTTGCGCCATCGCTACCTAAGTGTTTCCTCTTCGTAAGTTTTGTTCCGTTGCGAATTCAATATAAAATGTCTGGCTTGTTTGTCTAAAATTAAATTTTATGAGGTGATATCTTTAAGTTTGGTAGCTCTTGTTTTTTCAAAAACTTTACTAGACTTAAAACCTAGTTTTTTTCAACATTTTTCGTTTTTTTTTACGTATGTTTTTTTTTTATGTTTCGTTTTTATTGCAACTGTTGTGAAGCTCTGCTTCCCTTAGTTAGTTATGACTCCCGTCGTCTTTATACCGAGGTTTGAATTGGAGTCCCGGTGTATCTTTCAAGGATCAATTACTGTTTCTCTTTACCCTTGCGATGAGCTACTGTGACCGGACTTTTTTCCCTACGAGAAATTTGTTCATAGATTGGACGAAATGGTAAGCAATATCAACTGTACAATGTCAATAGATGAGTTATTAGCGTGGTCTGTGTATTGATTGCATATGTGTTTTGGGTGCACGTTAATAGTTCTTTCAAAGTAATTTTTCGGTGAGAAAAATTTTCGATTGGGCGCTGGATTTAGTCGGTCTTTTTTCTATCGGCTTATTGTCTCAATGTTTTTTAAGAGTCGATGAATGTAGTTCCGACTCTTATATAGATTATAATGATTTTTTTTCCCGGAAAAGTCTGGAAATTTGGGCACTTTTTTTTCGCGGTTTTACTTTTGATTTCTTTTTAGGTTCGGGTAATTTTCTCAATTTGGATTAATTTTTTTATCAAGGAAGGTCAAATAATAGATTGTTCTTGAAACTCAAAGAGTGTAGGGCCATCTGTGCTTTGAATTTCGGAGTTAAGAGTTTTTTAACAAGTTTGTATTTTTCTGTTTCTTTGCGTTTCTTGACTCTTTTCCAACTATCTTTTGCAGGGTTGCATAAGAATCCGATTTAAATTAAAAAAATCAATTGAATCGGATTTTTATATGTAAATCGATTTTTTTTAAATAGAAATCCGATTTTTTTCAAAAACTGCCGAATATCATGGAAAAATCAAAAGAAGTGTTACAAAAATTTATTGAAATGAAGGGTATTATGGAAAGTGTTGATTAATTTTCAGTTTTGGTTTAAAACCTTCATTCAAAATACCAGTTTTACAAAACTGGAGGGTAAAATTTGGCGTGTAATTGGCGGGAAAACACGCCACCATCTGAGAAAATTTGAATCTTCATTTTTAGAAATTGATTTGTCTTTTTCTGCGCAATTTTTTTCGCTTTTTAAAAAGATCTGAAATTGATCAGTATTTATAAATCTTTTTTGTAGCTGACGAATAAATTAGAAAATATTGTTTTTAGATTTTTTAATCATTGAGGGATTTGCAACCGTTTGCTTTTATCATTTCTTTCGTGCAGAGGTAATTTAGTTCAAACGTGGATCGTTTTAATATTTTCAAAAAGTTTCTCAGTATCGAGAAAAACTGGTTCAAAATTTTTGATTTATTTTTCAAATTCGAACGAATAAAGCGAGCCAGGAGGCGCAAATCAGTTTATTTATGCTCGTGTTAAGCTCTTAATTTTAGGCAAGTAAAGTAAGTTTTTTAAGTTTTTAGCGTCATTTTGGGAACCAAAACTTCAAACAAAAAAATCAAAAACTTTCTACAAAAAAATTCGAAAAACAAGATGGTTTTTTTGTTAAAACATAAAGTGACCTTCAAAAAATATATTATATAATAAGCAAAGTTCAGATTATCGAGTGATTGTTTAGTTTTTGTCTCCCTAGTGGTCGCAGGGTGGATTTTTTTACAATTCAAGATATGCCTATAATTCATTTGCTGCAATCGCTGTAGTTTTAAAAACAGTTGCGTATTTGTTTTTATTCGGCTGACGATTATTTGAAACAAAGCTTTTTTTTCCTGTTTTGATTTGGCTGTGTTGAGTTTTTCAAATGAGTCTTCATAACGAATAGAAAAATGGATTGTTGTAAGTCAAAATCGGCGTTAAAATAGTTTTTTGAAAAGTATGAACTGAAGTTTTTGATTTGATCATTCTCGGTATCCTCTACAAGCGTTGTTTGGGGTACCTGGAATCGCATGAAAAAGGTTGAGAAATTGTGGAATATCGGAAAGCGGAATATCTAATTTGAAAGAAAAATAATTGGACTAAAAATTCCAAACGCTAGTTGGAAAAAGATAGATAATTATTATCCAGAAGTGCATTTTTGATAAGGCGAATGAGAATTTTTCTGGGCAGAATTTGCATACTGATAATTTATTTAAACAGCCTGAGTAAGATGTTCTTGTTTGACAATACAAACTATAAAATTTTAATCTGAATTTTATTCTTTTCCTTTTTCCAGATTGGCTCTTTTTTGTTGTTTTTAATCCACTTTGTTACCGCAGGTCATATCAGTTCATCGCTGTCACCACGCTTGATTTCACCGCTCTTCCATGTAACACGTGAAACGAAAATTCGTAAAAAGTGGCAATAAGTAATAGGTGGCATTTCGTAACAGGCGACAATTCGTATTTGTACGTTAAGCGACGGTTCACGCGCACTAATTTTTTCGTGCAGAACAAGCGTTCGCTACTTGTGAATGCCTTACTACGAAATCAATAGAATATAAGCTGAAGCTGTGATTGATCAAGTGTTTGCGTTTTGCGGAGTTTTGACTTTTACATTGAAATTGTCAAATATCGATTATGAATTTTTTATTTGATTTGAATTAGTTCGTTCCAAATTTCTTAATAGTTCTTCGGGTGTGTTCAAGGTTTCACACAAAATTAGAATGTTTGAGTGATGAATCGAAGTCTCTTCGGTTTTGAAGGGTTCGAAAATTTTTGAAAGTTTGTTCAGTGACGAGAAAAAACGGTTTGAAGTTTTTGTTTTTTCGTCTAACTTCAAGCTATTTATTTTTGGCTATCATTTCATAGTTTTCTATTTTTCATTGGGCACTTCCTTGATAAGTAAAAAATGGAAAACTTTTTGAGATTTTTTTTCGTTTTCGGAGAATTTTGTAGTCGAATATGACTAATTTTCTTATGGTATAGGTTTTCGTCGTTTTGTTCCATCCATTGCACCATGCACAAAAAGCGACTTATTTGGAAAATGAATGAAATGATTATTTTTAGTTTTTCTTAATTTGGTCGGATCTTTCTGTGTTACTTGCACTGAAACCGTCCACTCTTGTAAAACATGGAATTGGTAAAAGTTACAACGTCTAATAGGAAAGATTCCGATTGGTAAGTTTCCAGTTTGAGTAATCTATCCTTGAGTTTGTGACTTGCTTTCAGGTGCATCATCTCCCGCATTCTTTCCAATGTCATGGACTCAATTTTCAGACGTCGTCTACTTCCACGATGACTCACCAGACAGAACAGACATGCTTGCGTTCAGACTGACAAATGAGTCACTAGGTTTGAAAACAGACTGGATTGCATTGACGATCAGAATCAAACCGCAGGATAGAAACCCGCCTGTGATGCTCACAACAGGAGAATGGAAAATTGTGAATGGTAAGAAAATTAGCTTTAATATTTCAAGTTTTTCATGAGGAAAAAATTGAAGTTTATTTAAGCTGGTCGCCTAATATGAACCAGTCAGCGATTTTTCATACACCTAAAATTTTTATCTTTTGTTTCAAAAATCAGGTAATAAATGAAAGCTTGCAATTCAGTCATATTTAGACTAATGAATAAATATCCAAAACGTTGAATTGTTTATACTCTGCTCTTTCATGCTTATCGGGGACGAAAAGTTTTTTCTGAGTGTCTACGAATGCGTTTTAGAAACAACAATAATATTTTGCTTGTGTGAAATTTATTTAAGAAATGTAGGCGGTGTCTCAATTTATTTATCTGACTGGTCGTTTTTTTGTTCTGAATTGAAATTTCTACAGTGTTTTGGTACAGAAACACTTCGATTTTGTTATACCCTCAGCCGTTGGGTGAGGTATAATTAAGTTGTCAAGTCTATGCTAAACGCTGACTATGAAATGAGAAATAGAAAAGACTACGATGGTAACTTAAATTCATCGGTCTATGTTTAAGTCTGGATGACGCTGACCTCGAAGCATTTGAGAGACAGCGTTTCATAATAACTATTACATATGTTGTTAGGTATAGATAGATACTTATTTAATCCTCAGACTTCTATATGTATTATGTAATCATTTAGGTTTATAATATGTAAACATTACCAACTGGTAGTTTTAGCACCTGAGTGGACATTGTTTATATAGGAATGTTTTACTATGATATCCGTATGGATAACACTTCCCTCCTTTTAAGAAATTGAGTTCTCAATTTAAGCTTGATTTTCATCGTCCTCCTGCGAATTATCTTTGGTTTGTTCTCGCGTCTCCGCCGATTGTTGTTTATCGGTTTTAGGAATGTCAGTTGATCTCTGTTGTGGGGAAGGTTGTTTGTCGTCTTCTTTCTCTCTCTGGAACGTCATTGAATTTCCTCGAATAGGACTAATCGATTGTAAGAAATTCATTGCTTCTTCAAAATCTTTACTGAAAGAGTCTTCAGTGATCTGCGGCTTGTCTAGAATATACCGCGAGCTTGTGGTTCTTTCAATTGTATGGGTCTTAGTCGTATTTCGGGTGTTCTCGGGCGTATCGCTACTCATCTGGACCTCTGTGCACACGATTTCATCTGATGACGCCAACGATGCTGTTTGGTGTGTCGTGTCCTCATTGTATTTTGTGAACTGGTTTTCGTCATTTTTGCCACTCGGATTGGAGGTGCTAAGTTTCGTCGGTGTAATTTCTTCCGTACTTGTGAGTTCGATGGTTGCTACTGTGAGTGGGGCGTCAGTGTTTGTTGAGATGTGTCCAATTGGGATGGCATTTCCGAATTTTCCGGCCAGCGTGCTTTTCCGTGATCTGGTTGATCGCCGTATTTCCGGTGATTTGGTTTCTGGTGTGGCCTTTAAGTCAATACGTTTTGCTGCAGGTTGTTGACTTGGAGATGGGGATTTATGGTCGAGCTCGTTATCCGATGAGAGTGAGATCGATGTATCACAGTCGAATTGGATGGTTGCGGAGTCGACTCTTGCTTTCTTCTTCGGGCTAACTGTTCTATGAGGTACTGCCTTTGCCGGGAGGCGTTGCGTGAGCGATTTGCTTCTGTCCCGGGCATTCCCTTGCTGTGTTGGTGTAAATGTAGCCAATAGTTTCTGTGGACCTAGGGCTCGTCGGTTCAATGTCTGCTGAAGTATCTCCTGTGTTGATTTTGGTGGTGGCTTTCTAGGGCTTTTTGCTGAATTGTTTGATGCTCCTCCTTGTGCCCCTGTGCTAGTCGTCTTTTTCTCTAAAATACGCGGTTTAGCTCTTGGTAGGTGTTTATACGCGACAAAGTCCTTTAGTGCCGCTGGTCTACACTTTCCATAGACCCTTGGATCTGGTATGAATGCAAGACCGTCATGCCTAATTACCCTAGGTTGTTTCCCATCTTCCCGTATCCACGCAGTGTGTGGAGAGTAATTAATTATTGCGCCGTTTTCGATAATTTTGAACTGCGCCCCAAATGTTCCCGGATTTTTTGTTTTTCTTGCAATTGTCCCCGTTTTCCTAGCAATTTGTTCGAGGCGTAGTCCTGTTTTAGGATTAACGGTATGTGCTGGACCTTTAAAACGATCCTTTAGAAATATTAATGGGGCATTTCGTAATTTTTCTTTTTCTTGTGATGTTAATAATCTTATGGGGTTACGAGTCCTTAGTTTATCGAAATCATTAGATTTTTCTTTTAGAAAGGTTTCCTGAAGTGATCTGGCTTCATAAGGCTTATTTGTCAAAGGTAGGTGCGCACCTATTGGGAATTTTTGGAGTAGCCTCCTGTCGAATTCCTCGTCACTGCTGTCTAATGTTACTGCTTCCGTGTGTGTATCTGCATCCGGCTGGTTCTGTGCTCTACGTTTTCCTGAGTGTGTTTGTGTGTGTCGATTACCTTCGGTAGCACTTTTATCCGCGACAGTTTGTGCTGGTGGGGCCGGGTTGAATGTTGGTTCCGGAACGTATTGGTGCTCAGGTTTGTATTTCAGGTCTAGTTCATCCTCGCTGTTTATATCCCGGTTCCACATTGATTCCGCCGACAACGCTGGTTTTGCAAGTACTTTTTCGTCTAAACATGACAATTTAGTATTTTCCCATGAAAGGTTTGACAATTTAGGCGATGTGCTGAGGTTACTTATGGGAGTGTTAGCTTTTCTACCGTAGTGAGATTCAAACGGTGTAACTTTTGTAGAAGAGTTAGGTGTAATACGGAGGGTTTTTATTAATTCAGCTACGTCCGATGCTAACTTATATGGACGATTTGTTTTGTCAATTTTCATTATCGCTAGTCGTGATTTTAATGTTCGTATGAGCCTTTCGACCATGCCTATCGCTCTGTGGTCGTCCACCGGTGCGAAAATCAGTTTTATATTGTGAGATTTACAATATATAAGGAACTTTTTGGCTCTGAAACCTTGTGCTTGGTCACATCTGATAGCACGGGGTACACCTTGGTTGACTATGTGATTTTGCATAAAACGGATGATTGTATCCGCTTTGTTATTGGTAACAACTTTTGCATACGGAAAGCGTGAAAAGCGATCGACACCCACCAATATATAAACCTCCTTATCATTTTCGTCTGGTAAGGGTCCTGCGAAATCCAATTGGATTTCCTCATTTGGTTCTACTACCGCGTCCAATGTTGTGAAGTGTTGTTTACCCGAGATAACCTTAAAGTTCTTACCCTTTTCCCGACAGCTTTTACAGTTTTGCGCCATTGAGACGATGTCTCTGTGAATGAATGGATACCACACATGCTTCGCTGCTTCTAGCATTCCCCCTTGTCCTGGATGTGTGAGGTGTAAAGCATCCATCAGTGTAGGCCTCAGTTGTTTCGGTATGACGACGCGGTCGTCGTAGAGGAGAATGTTGTCCCTGACTGATAGTCGATGCCTGACATTGTAGAAATAAGGGCCGTAGCAGCTTTTGATTGAGTCCCACTTTTGTTGCTTAACCATTGTTAAGAGTGGTGATAAATTCCTATCTCGTTTAGTAGCGGCTGCTAGGAAACTTATGTCCATCACCTTCCGTAAATTTTTCCGGAACATTGGAGTGTCTTCGTCTTCTATGCTGGCGATAGTTTGGCTCTCCGTGTCCTGTTTTGGTGACTGGTTGTTGTCGGTTTGGGTTTGATGGTCTGTGTCAGGGTATTGATCTTTTTCCAGTGTCTGGCAAATGGCATCAGCTTTCTTGGATTCGATTCTGTTGAATGTGAAGCTGTTTGTAGAGGGTATGACTTGATGTGTCACGTCACTGAATGTAAGTTCTGGTGGTGGGGGTTTCGATAGAAGTGCATTAAACGATGCGTAATTTATGGGAGAGAACGTGAGTTGGGTTTGGGCTGCGGTATGTGCTTTCCTTGTTATGCGGCGAAAGGGTGGTAAAGTCATGCCTTGTTGCAATTGTCTACTCATGTTGTTTTGAATTTTTAAGTTTGAGCTGTTTGAAATTGAGTTAATTTGAGATCGACTTGATTTGAACAATTGACTACGCAGAGTGAATGCAGTTTGTGTTTGAATCGAATTTGAACGTGCGAAGTTCTCGTTCCGGTCGAGCTTTTTGGTGCCTGGATAATTAGCCGTTTTGACATTATTCCAAGCGGCGTTAATACTACTGCTATCTTGGAATTCTACGCATTTTACGAGATCATCAATTAGTGCTACTACGAAATTTTCATCCCAGTACGCGGGGGGTTGAGGTTTTCCGACCGGGTGTCGTGAGATGTAGTCAATGAGACCCATTTTACTACCAGCTAGGTGGTGTATGTCAAAATCGAATGGAATGAGTCGATCAATCCATCTGGTTAACCGACTTTGATAGGTTTTATTTCCCCTATTACTTTTTAATGCACCAACTAATGCTTGATGGTCCGTTATTAAAGTAAAACGTCTGCCGTATAAGTAGTACTTGAAGTGCTCAATGGCCCATACTGCGGCTAGAAGTTCGAGTTCGTTTACCGAGTATTTTTGTTCACATGAATTTAGGAAACGTGATGCATACGCAATTGTGGCCCAACCGTCCGGTGTGTTTTGTTCCAGGGCCGCGCCTATACCTTCGCGGCTGGCATCACAGACAATTCGGGTGTCTCGGTCCGTTACAAAATGTCTGTTTTCTGTTATGTTCTTTACTGCATTTAAGACATTTTTGAAAGCTTTCCCGTTTTCTTCATTCCACTGGAAATTAAATTTATTTGCTGTTGATAGCAGTGGTCTAAGGGGATTACATAACTGAGCTAAGTTTGGAATGAATTTGTTTAGGTGATGAACTGAACCCATGAAACTTTTCAATTGTTTGAATGTTTTTGGATGAGGTAGGTTTATGATTGCGTCCGTTTTCTTATGGATAGGTATGGTGCCGTGTTCGTTTATGGTAAATCCCAACCATTCTACTTCCCTACAACCAAATTTACACTTATCGATTGAAATAGCCATGTTTTCCGTATCTAGTTTGGTCAGA